GCAGGCCCGGCGTCTCCTCTATCTTTTATTTCAGTCTGTTATCTCATGTATTCGAGACAAACATTTTATATTTCCTTTCAAACGGTTGTATTTAGTACTCTTAGAAGTTCGTGAGTAATGTGACACCAGTTCTTGGGTAGAGGCATATGTTGATTCTCGCATTATTGTTGAGTTTCTTTAAACTTAAGTCTTCCGCTTATTTATTTAATTTCGTTGCTTTCATGCTATCGCTGATAATTGTTAAAAGAAGTAATTGTTAATGAAGTAAGCAGTTAAGGATTGGCTTGCCTAGATCTCATTAGTAGGCGCCATCACGACTCCCGAGGGTGGAAAAATTTGGGTCGTGACACGAACGTGGTTTGGTTGGTTTCGGTATCAGTTGTCGAATTTGGAAGTTTCAAACTTCTTTAAGTTTGAATTGGAGGGTGATTCGTGATTTTAGCATTGTTTGATGTGATTTATAGACTCGACTAAGTTCGTATGGTGTTTTAGGACTTGTTGGTAGGTTTTGTTGAGGTCCTGGGTGCCTCGGGTGTGTTTCGAATGCTCAACGGATAATTTTGGACTTTGGAAAGATAGCATATTTTTCTGGTGTTTTTGTTGTAGAAGTTTGTTCTTCGCGTTTGCCAAGAGGATATCGCATTCACGTATGAGTGGCCAGTGGAATCATCGCGAATACGAGGAGTAGGACGCATTTGCGTAGAGGAAACATGGAACAGCTGGGACCCCAAGGATTTTTTCTACGCGTTCGCATATGGGAGAACACGTTCACGAAAGGTCTGACAGGTGAAGCTACGCATTCGCGAGAGGACTCTTGCATTCGCGAAAGAGGATTTTCGATCATTGGCTTTTTGTTCTACGCGAACGCGAGGAGATGGCCGCGTTCGCGAAGAAGAATTACCTAGGCAGTACTTAAATATTTAAAAAAAGAGGGTTAGCCATTTTTATCAAAACTTGAGTTTGGAAGCTCATATTTGGATGAGATTTTGAGGGATTTTCAGAGATATTAAGTGGGTAATGATTATTAACTTAATTTTGGTTATATCCTACTAATCTATCATTAATTGTATTATTTAATTTCAGAATTGGGGTGAAAATTTGGAGAAAAAATGAAAAGAAGTTTTTCAACTAAGATTTCGAGTTTTGATTGGGATTTTGACATCGGATTTGGACAATTTTGGTACGAGTGAACTCGTGAGTGAATGGGTGTTTATAATTTGTGATCTTTACCCAATTCTGAGATGTGCACCCGAGGAGGCGTTTTGTGCAATTTTCCAATTTCTTGCCTTAGCTTTGATTTCATTAGTTAGATTAGCTTCTTGTAGCTATATTTATGTTATGTAATTGATTTGGCTAGATTTGGTCCATCCACAGCCGGATATTCATGGAAAGAGCATTGTGACAGATTGATTTGAGATTGGTTCGAGGTAAGTGGCTTGCCTAACCTTGTGTGAGGGAACTCTCCTTAGGATTTGGTACTGTTTGATACGTGAGCGCCGTGTACGTGAGGTGACGAGTACGTACACGGGCTATTTGTTGTAAAACTCCATTTTTCACTAAGTCATAACCTGTTTCTCCTTATTTGAACTACACTAGTATATGTAACTATCCTGTTTAGATTAGAATAGTATGCCTACGTGATTTAACTTCCTTTGAACTCTGTGCACCATGTTTAGTGAAATTTCCTACTTTCTTTGGCTTGAACTTAGCCTAAACTGTAGGGCTTCTTGCTGTAACTGTTGTTTCAGATGGTCGACCTGCATATTTACTTTGGGACTATGGAACGGTATTCCTGGAGATCCCCCTGTACTGCATATTTACTTTGGGACTAGGGAACGGTATTCCGGGAGATTCCCCTGCACATTTACCTTTGGGACTGCGAAATGGTATCTCTGGAGATCCCCTGTTGTTATCTTTGTGTTCTGAACTATTGTTCTTCTATGCTTATGTTCTTGTTAAATTTCTGTATTTATTCTTACTGTGATATTTCTTTCTGTTAAATTTTATTATATATATACCAGTAGGGCCCTGACCTGATCTCATCACTACTCGACCGAGGTTAGGCTTGTCACTTACTAGGTACCATTATGGTCTACTCATGCCCTTTCCTGCACATATTTTTCGTGTGCAAATCCAGGTTCATCTTACCAGCTTCATCACTAGTTGCAGTCGCTGCTGCTTATTGGAGATTTCAAGGTACATCTGTCCGCGTCCGCAAATCCTCGGAGCCCCCCTCTATCCCCCTATGTTCATTTTTCCTTCTTTCTGTAGAAATGATGTATAAAATACTTAAGACCTCTTAGTAGCTTGTGATTTGAGGGTTTTCGGGTTTTGAGAATTGTTTTGTACTTTTCTATGGTGATAATTGTATATCCGAGTGGAATTAAGTTGCTTATTAGATAATTGTTACGGTTAGTAGATAATTTTCATGTTTTTGTTTTATTTTCGCAAAGTGTTAGGCTTACCTCGTCGTAGAGACTAGGTGCTATCACGACGGTTCACGGAGGGAGAATTGGGTCATGACACAAAACCTCTTGCATCACCTTACGAACCCTAACTTGATGCGTTGGTACGACGATTTTTTTTCCTAAAAATAATAATTTTCTGTTGTTTAATTGCCAATCAATATTTTTTAAAGAAAATTATACCCATGCTATTATATCAAATTTTAACTTCATATAATTGTTCAACCAACACTTAAACATATTATTATTAATTAATTACAAAACATTATCCAATATGCTTATATTATTGTTATCAATCTTGAGCATATATGTTTAATAAAATATATTTTTCGCTTCCTACCTAACACCTTTCTAACAACTAAGTCATTTTTTTAAAAAGTATTTTTCAAAAATGTTTCGGTCATATTAAATACACACAATATCTTATTAGCTACTATATATCAAGGGTTGTGATTGAACGGATGATACCCCTGTACGACTTTGATTTAACCAAAAATTTCGAGTTCAAATCTTGGGAATGAAAATAATCCTAATAAAGACCCATTTCCTCTTCATTGGATCATAAGCAATACAAATTTGAATTAGTCAAATTTCAATGCGAGAATACTAAAAATGTATTTATCTTAAAATCCACTACAACCCCAAAGCTCAAAGTGTGTGAGTCAAGCCTCAGGTCCACGCATCCACCATCCCCATAATTCTCTTCCTTATTACTTTTCTATTTTACCCTTATGTAGTATCTCAATACACCTGTCATAGTCCATTTTCTTATTAATTTTTCAAAATTCAAGAGCATATTCAAAAATGAAATTTAACCCACTTTTATTCTTCACCAATACATAAATTTGTTAAATTCATTGAAATGTGAAAACATAGGGTCTACAAGATTTTCTTGATCTAAAAAGTTATGAGATTTTGCTGGATACATATAACCTCTTATCAAAGTCTGACCACTCTTAGGCAAATAGTAAAAATTATCTATTATTGTTTTTGCCTATGTTGAGATTTGAATCTTGATAAAAATTGACTAAAATGGTCCATTATGTTTGAAGATGAGTTTAAAATAGTCTTTTAAATATATATATATATATATGCTTAAGCGTTTTCATCAGTTAAGTTTGTCAAAAGTGAGTAATTTTTGTCTCTACTAATATTTATAAAATCTTGATTATTAAATTTAACGAGAACTATAAAAAGAAATTAACATAGAAAGTAAGAGCTCGAATAAAAGTGTCAAACATAATTTATAATTAACGGATTGTCCATCATTTTATATTGAGAAGCTAACTGCCAGAAAAAAAATACAATATGTTTCCTATTATAAATTAACATCAGCATACGTCTTTTCTATCTTTGGATGCTTTTCTTATTCTTCTTCTTCAATAAACCCTGAAATATTATACAGGACAGAAGGTCAGATAAAGATAAAATATGAAAAACAATGAATAGAAGTCTAAATAAAAGAAAGGTAGTAAACATGAAGAGGATAGACCTCTACTGATAATATATAAAGTGAAGATTGAGTGAGTTTTTTTAAGAGATTTTTCAATTTTCACTTCTCAAACATATAGGAGTATTTACACGACTTTCAGTTAAAAAGCACTTTTAGGTTGACCACATTTTTTATTAGTTTATCCTTAATATCTTTTGCAATCTCCAAAATGCCATTCTAATAAAAAACAAAAAATATCTCTATTTTGTTTCCATCGTTAGTCTTTCATAGTTTTATGAGCAATTCTAACATTTGAATACTTTTTTGCAAACAGATTAACTATTTACTATCAATTTCACCACTTATATATATATATATATATATATTCAAACATGTAATTATTTATTTATAAAATAAACTTTAAAACTTAAAGTGACTTTAAACACTTGACACTTATTAGTTATTTTTAATCACCTAAGCTAGACCTGCTCTACATTCGCTTTTATGTGTCCCTACACCTCATTTATTAGTCAGATGTACACCAAAAACACAACCATGAAATTTATGCAACAAAAGTCCAATGATCGTACTCATGCTAAAGGGGTGAGAAGTGAAATGCTTACTTTGAGCAATCAACATTGGGTTCAATTGGTATAGTACTCTTGAAATGGCAAATCTGAGGAAGTTGTTTAGCTTTTTGGAAGTCCACAGGGAAAGTTTGCATGGCAGCTTTAAAGCATTGACAAATAGTTTGACGATCTGGTTGTGAGTCATCAGCCACTTTAGCCAAATCTTGCAATCCAAAGCAACAATTTGGGCTAGGTGCTGCAACTTTACCTAGCAAATACCCTTCACAAGAGCTCACTTTTGATATAACATCACTACACTGAATATCTGCATTTGTTTGGCCTAAAATTAGAGACAAAGCAAACAAAGCTATAAGGATTTTTGCCATTTTTCTTAATGGGTGGAAATAAATTATTTTAAAAAAAAAGTTTGATGGTTTTCTATGAAAATAGAAGAAGAAAAGCTTTAAAGAGAGATGTTGTATAAATAACTAAGATTAAAGACTATTTATAGTGGTTTTGAAGAGTTGACTATTTAATTATTACTACTTAATGTGAAAGCCATCTCTTCCCTTTGTTTGTTACACTGGAGAGGATGTAATAAATAAAGTGATCTTCAGTAATTGTATATATTAGATTCTTTATTTATATTGGGGGTAAGACGAATTTGATTATTTAATTATTTCTAGTTTTAGACTTTAAAATGATGCCATCTCTCCACTTGATCTTTTTATACGGGATAAGAATGTAATAAATAAAGTCATCTTCCGTCATTGTATATTCCTTATTAAATTGGGGAAAATTTATATCACTATTTGTTGCATCGCACGAGTTTACCCTCCAAAATAACTTAATATGGAATACTTAAGGAATTTCACATTATACCCATTGAAAAAAAGTTGCCTAGATTTTTTAAATACTATATATAATAGGTGTTATAAGTAGAATTCTATTTAAGGTGAATGTCTATATTTAGAGAGATCTTAGGAATTTATATTTGGTGGCAAAGTCACTTGTAACGACCCGACCGGTCGTTTTGAGCTTTTGCACCTCGCTCGTCAGTTCTCGGGCATGACTAGCCCCGTGTGATGTATTATGACTTATGTAAATCGTCGGTTTTGGTTTTCAGGATAATCGGAATAGAATTGGAAGAATAATTCTCAGTTTGAAGCTTTAAATTTGAAAGGTTTGACAAAGTTTTGACTTTTTAGTATTGGATCTCGGATTTGGAGTTTTATGATTTGGTTAGCTCCGTTAGGTGATTTTGGACTTGGGAGCTCGTCCGGAATGTGATTTGGAGGTTCGTGGTAAATTTAGGCTTGAATTGGCGAAATTGAAAATTTGACATTTTTCGATCGGCAGTGGAAATCTTGATATCGGGGTCGGAATGAAATTACTGAAATTGGAATAGGCCCGTTGTGTCATTTTTGATGTGTGTACAAATTTTCAGGTCATTCGGAGGAGATTTGATAGGCTTTTTGGTCATTTGCGGAATTTGGAAGTTTTGGAAACTTGAGGCTTTGAATCCGAGGGTGTTTTGATGATTTGATGTTTCTTTGAGTGTTCCGAAGGTTGATATAAGTTTGAATAGTGATATGTGACTTGTTCATATTTTTGGTTGAGGTCCCGGGGGCCTCGGGATGATTTCGGATGGTTATCGAAGAGTTGGAAAATAGAGTTTGCAGCTGATGTGTTTCTGTCATAACCGCACCTGCGGTTTGGGGACCATAGGTGCGAGCCGCAGAAGCGGCATTTTGATCGCAGGAGCGAAGGCCAGTTGGCTGGGAAGACAGCGCAGATGCGAAGGTTAGTCGCACCTGCGAGCCCGCAGATGCGGTGGCTTGATCGCAGGTGCGGATTGGGACTTTAAGTGAAATTCTGCAGATGCGGGATTATTGTCGCAGGTGCAGGGGTCGCAGGTGCGGTACTGGACCTCAGATGCGGAACCCCTGGGCAGAACATATAAATTCTTGCCTTCGCGAAATTTGAGCTATTGTCCACCATTTTTATCCGGAATTGAAGCTTTTTGGAGGGTTTTGAAGAGGGAATCAAGGAGGTTTTCATTGAGGTGAGTTTCTTGAACCTAAAACTCGATTCTATGTTGATTTTCAGTTGTTTGAGCATGAAATTTATGAGATTAAGGGTGAAAAATTGGGAAGTTAGGGCTTGAAATGGGAGAGGTAAAAATTGGGGATTTGAGGGGTCATTTGAGGTCCGATTTCGATGTTCTTGGTATGTATGAACTCGTGAGAGGATAAGGATTCTATTGATGTGACTTTTATTGGATTCTGAGACGTGGGTTCGGGGGTCGGGTTTGACCAATTTCTGGATTTTTGATGTAAATTGATTATTTTGGCGTGGACTTTATTCCTTTAGCATATATTGATGTTATGATTCTGATTTTGGATAGATTCGAGGGGAGTTGAGGCCGAGTCGAGAGGCAAATGCGTTGAGGTGTAGGATTTTCGTCCGATTTGAGGTAAGGAATGATTGTAAATGTTGTCCTAAGGGTATGAAACCCTGATTTTACATCGTTGTGCTACTTTGAGGTGACGCACACGCTATATGACGAGTGTGGGTCGTGCACCGTTGGGAATTGTGACTTGGTCAGTCCCGTACAACTGTTAAGTCGCGTATTTGATTGAAAACTATTTGATATGATTGTGTTTTGGAAAGTATTGCTATTTTTTGGGCGGAATGCCATATTTGGGCCTCGTGCCAATTGTTTTGGACCCTTATGGCCCTTTTTACTACTATTCCTCACTATTTTGACTTAGTTTTTATACTCAGTCATGCTGTGCTTTACTGATTTCATAACTCGGCCTTATTTACCCAGTTTTGATGCTATAAATGATATTTTGGGCTGAACGCCCTGTGTTACTGATAGTCCGAGTGGCTTGTGAGGTTGATGGCTGAGAGAGAGGCCGAGGGCCTAATTGTGAGGTGATGACTGGGAGAGACCGAGGGCTTGATTGTAAGATTGATGACTGAGAGAGGCCGATGGCCTGAGTATTAGGATTATATATTTATGGATCACACGCCGCAGCGATATATATATGGATCGGGCTGCACACCGCAACGATATATGGATCGGGCTGCATGCCGCAGCGATATGTTGGATTGGGCTGCATGACGCAGCAATATAGCACTTGGGTTATAGGAGCCCCTCCGAAGTCTGCACACCCCCAGTGAGCGCAGTCGACTATATATTTATGATCGGGCTGCACGCCGCAACGGTTATTATATGGTACCTATTGAGTGTGAGCGCTGATTGATGAGAGTTGAGTCTCGAGTGACTGAGAGGCTTGTCCCGGGGGCTGTATACATATATGAGCGATGCTTTGCCCGAGGGGCTTGTTTTTATGAAACTGATGTTTTCACTCCTCTTTATACTGAGCCTCTGTTGAAAATGTTGAACAAATGCTTTTAAACAACTTCATTTAAACTGGAGTTTTTACGAGATGTTTGGAATTTAATCACTGATTTGACTTTGTTATTTCCACTGAGATTTTTATGTTATGAGATGTTTATGATTCTTGTTTGTCCGAGGGGCTGTAACGAACTATGTTTTGCCCGAGGGGCCAATTATGATTTTCATCACTCTTATTATAAATTGTATTGAACCTTTATTGAAACTGTTGGAAAGCATCTTCAAATGATTTTTACCAAAAGCTAGATTTTGAATGAGACGATTGACTCATATTTTGATTTGAAAGCTTGTCGTACTTATTGAGTTTATCCTGATATGGATTTATCGTTTTCTACTACTCAGTCTTTATTTAATTTTATTACTTACTGAGTTGGCGTACTCACATTACTCCCTGCACCTTGTGTGCAGATTCAGGTATTTCTGAGTTTTCAGCAGTTTCTGTGTATTTCCGGAGTTAGTAAAGTAGTTGCACGTCATTTGCAGCCCTGTCCCTCTCTTTCGTATCCTAGTACTTTATATTCCAGACTTAATTTGTATTAAGTAGACAATGTTGAGTTGTACTTAGTGGCTCATGACTAGTGACACCAGATTCGGCCTATGTTGGTGTATTTACATACTTGTTTCCGCGTATTTCTTTTGATCTCTTAAAAATGAAAGGTTTGAGACTTAATCTGTTTAGAAAAATGAATTTTATAAAAGACCTTCATATTGTTCGTGTTGTTTTGGCTGGCCTAGTACTGTGATAGGCGGCATCACGACCGGGGTGTTTGGGTCGTGACCTCACTCTTTACCTATAAATAGAGGGGTCCTATTCCATTGTAATTTATCCCCAAATTCAATAAGAATTTACCATCAGTTGAAGATTCGGGAGCCAGATATCCCGAAGACTGCTTTCAGGACTCGGTATGGCCATTACGAGTTCCTTGTTATGTCATTTGGGCTGACCAATGCCCTAGCAGCCTTTATGCATTTGATGCATAGTGTGTTCCGACCGTATCTTAACTCGTTCATCATTGTCTTTATTGATGATATTTCGGTGTATTCCAGGAGTCGGGAAGATTATAAGCAGCATATGAGGACTGTGCTTCAGATTCTGAGAGAGAAGAAGTTATATGCTAAGTTCTTGAAATGTGAGTTTTTGTTGGATTCAGTGGCATTCTTAATCCACCTAGTACGAGGCATCACAATAGACCGTAGAAGACCCCGAACCTGTAGGCAATATCAAAATTGGGGTTGTGGTCAAAGCTGTCTTGAGCTTCTGAAAGCTCGCCTCACACTCCTCCGTCCACTGAAACGGAGAACCCTTCTGGGTCAACCTGGTCATAGGGGCTGCAATCGATGAAAACCCCTCCATAAAATGGCGGTAGTAGCCAGCCAAACCGAGGAAACTGCGAATCTCGGTAGCTGAGGATGGTCTGGGCCAACTCTGCACGACCTCTATCTTCTTCGGATCCAC